ATTTTATGGAATATATATTATAGAAAAATGTGTCGAGTTAGATGTATGTGGAAAATGTATATAATTAGTTTATCCTCTAAACATTTATAGAGGTGCTGCAATAGGTTGTACAAAATAACCGAAAAAAGTCTATAATAACTAGATAGGAAAGTGATGTGTTGCACACATTAGATTTTTAGTCTTAGTCATTAATGAATTAGATAGAAGACAAATTGATTAATCGGTAGACCATTTTTTACTAAAGACTATCTCCCTAGACCAAATATCAGCGACTATTTCTCTAGAGAAATAGTCAATATTTGTTCTAGTGAAATAGTCGTCCCAAATATAATACGACCTGATTATTATTCTGCTATTTTTGTTGTTGTTAAATTTTTCGAACATTTTACAATTTGATTCTACATAATTTTGGCATTAATAATTAATTGATTAAAGCCCTCGAGCTAAAGTTCTCGGGCTCTAATCAGATTATTAATGCCAAAAATTATGTCTCATCAAATTGATATTAAAATATTCTCGAGATTTAGATTCAACAAAAATAGCTGACTATTATCAAGGTCTTGGTATATTACCTTTGACTATTAAACTTCATAGAAAGATCAAAATGTGAGACAAGCCGTTGCTATATTTTTATGAGTTATAACAATAAAAATTATGAGAAATACAAGGAAACCACAGAATACTAACTTGAAAGGTTCTATGTCACATCCCATTTTTTTTAAATTATCAACAAATTCTGAATGGTAAAATTTCAGCAAACCATCAAACTCTTCTTTTAAAACGTCCGTGTTAACACTTGTTAATAAAAAATTAAGAAGATCGATAGCTGGAGACTTATAATCGTAACATTGAAAATCAACAAATTTGTTACTGATAGGTTTGCCATTTTCATATTTCATCATACCGTTGTTAATCCAGAGATCTCCATGATTAAACGTAGCAAACGGTTCTCTTACTTGATATTTCTGCGGTTTTTTAAATTCGTTCCAAACTTTGAGAACCTAAAAAAACGACATATTTGCAAATACTTATAGAATAAAAAAAGTATTAAAAATTTTACGTCTATGTCTTTGAACCAATATAATGCGTGATATATATTATACTAAAACAATCCAAATCTATGTAATACTTACCCTTGAAAACAATGGGCCACACTTATCAGATTCGCACAAAATATCTTGGAGTAAAACGTTTGGATCTCCAAACGAATCATTGTCTTTTTGGATAAACTCATTGTTTAAAAATGGTCTGATTTCTATTTGAAAAAAGTCAGGTTTCTTCAGCTTTATTGCTAACGGTATAGCATGCAATGCTGCCAAGTCTTTTAGAAGAACATGAGCTTCTTCTAAATTGTAACCAATATATCTGTCAATATTGTTATAGCCTAGAAAAATTATTATATTATATAAACAGACAATGAAAATATCTATTAAAATAAATGATTTTAAGTTATTTGTACATAGTTTTATGTTTTTTTTTTTTTGTTTTATTATCCAAGTTAACAGTGACTTTGAATATTAACTCCGCTTTTCATGATTAACATAGATATAGGCAACACGTTATACATTACTAACGATAGATTTTCAGTTTTTATATCTATTTCTTAAAACAATATGATGGTAGGACAAATCTTATGTGCATTTTGAGCGAAAAGTTTATCGCTTTCGACAGATTTCCGCCTTTCGCTACGCTATTGTGTATTGAGAGCGAAAAGTGATACTTTGCCGTTTGGGGCAATCTGTAGAAAGCGGCAACGAAATTTTCGCTTAAAATGCACACAATATTTTATCTACGTTCATACTTTTTTAATGGAGGCTTGTTTACCTTATGCCCAAGGAGCAAGTAATGAAATAAAAACGAAAGTAGAGAGCAGTACTGATCCTATAACTTTAATTCTGCAGAAAATAATAATAATTTAACAAAAAAGTTCAATAAAGGCTGGACTAGAAAATAATAATAGACGTTAAAAGAGAAAATGGCTCCTGGTCTTAGTATTCTCGAATGGAACACAAATGGACTCTTACACCACCAGCAAGAGTTATTAGTGACCTTACCACATTATATGGATATATGCCTGATAGCAGAAACACATTTTAATAAACAAAGACACGTCAAATTAAAAGGATATCAAATCTATAATGCCATTCATCCAAACAATTTTGCCAGAGGTGGAGCTTCTATTATTATTAAAAATAACATAACACTCTATGAAAGAGGAAAAAGTGAAACTAAAGAAATACAAGCTGTTAGGATATCTATTAAAACAAAAAATATGTACTTACTGTTGCATCTGCCTACTTCCCACCCAGATGTAATTTTAAAAGAGAAGACTAAAACAACTTTTTGTCAAAACTTGGTGAAAAATTTATATTAGGTGCTGATTTTAATATAAAAAATGTCTGCCGGGGCTCAAGGCTTACTACAACTAAAGGAAAAGAACCATACGGGGCTATCAAAGATCAGAAATGTAAGTGGCAATACACAAAAAAACCTACATATTGGCCAAGCAATATAAGCAAAATACCAAACCTTCTGGACTTTTTCATTTCCAGAAATATTGCAGAAAATTTTATAAAGCTAGAGGACGTTGAGGATTTAATATCTGATCACTCCCCAATACTCCTAACAATAAGTGAAAATATTATCACTATAGAACTTAATCCCATACTGATGCACAAACATACAAACTGGAAAAGACTTTAACTTGAACTTGCTGAAAATATTGAATTAAATGTCCCAATTAGGACAGTGAAACATTTGAATACAGAAACGGAATTATTTATGGTCAATATCCAGCAAGCTGCATGGAATAATACACCATTAATACAAAGGAAAACTATAGGTATTAATTATCCCAAAGAAATAAGGGATTTAATACACAACAAAAGAAAGGCTCAAAAGAAGTGGCAAAAAATCAGAGCCGAAGAGAACAAAAACAAATAAAATAGCTACAAAGAAAGATAAAAAAAATTAAAAATGAGTCAACCAACAAATATCTGAGAGAACTCACAGACCAAATCACTGATTAGTCATTATATTAAAAAATAAACAAACCAATTAAACACAATACGAACAGAAAATCGGATGTGGGCAAAAAGTTGCAAACAATAAGTTGATGCATCTGTCAACTATTTAGAAAGCATTTTCCACCCAAACCCAGGAGAAGGTGAAGAAATTGAAATGGACAACCAAGAGAAAGGTAGTGATATAGAGAAAATATTAACTAGTCCTAAAGAAGTACAAAGGGAAATAAAAAATAGTATTAATGTGAAAATGCTCCCGGGTTCAATCTGATCACAGGTGAGATACTAAAGAAATTACCACGAAAAGGTTCAGTAAAACTGACCAATATAATTAATGCAGCATTTAGACTTCAATATGTTACACTATACTATAGAAAACTGCTGAGGTAATAATGATACCCAAACCGGGAAAACCCAACAATCAAAAAACATCTTATAGACCAATCACGTTTCTACCTGTGATAAAAACTTAAAAAAATTTACAACCTCCGCTGTAAGAAATGAGAAAAATGCTTATTTTGAATACTAAATAAATAAGTTGAAAGGTAATAATAAATTTTTTTGAAATAAAATTAAAGAATTTAATATACCTGGGAAATATTCCAATAATTTGATTCCTGTTAACTTTAATAATCCAGATGAAATTAATAATCATTTTTTAGGGCCATCGGCACATATTAAAGAACCAACCACTGATCTAATTGAAACCTATAGGAATAACCGAAAAGATGATTTACGTTCAATGTTTTCCTTCAGTGTTGTCAGTACAACAGAGTTGTATATAAGTATTTGGTCGAAATAAAGTCTGTATCTTCGGGAGCAGATAAGTAAAATATTCACATGCTACTTCTTTGCTGTCCTGAAATTTTACCTATAATTAGACATATCATAAATATTTGCCCCACCGATTGCATTTTCCCGCAATCTTGGAAGTTATTAAAGGTCTTTCCTTTGCTCAAGAAGAACGATTTGAGTCCCATCTGTATCCTGCCAGTGTTATGCAAAGTAATTGAAAAAATCATGAAATTTCAATTAAATATTCACTTAGAAAATAATGAAATACTTCCACTGCGACAGTCAGGTTTTCGTTCTGGCTATAGTTGTACTACAGCTCTACTTGATGTCACTGATGATCTCTTTAGAGACATTGATGCTAAAAAAACAGCATCACTTGTTATTCTCAATTATTGCCAAGCATTTGATACTATTACTTATACAATTTTTTTACTCTCAATATTACATTTTATTGGTTGCTCTAATTAGACTATTTAATAGCTACCTTGATAACAGGAAGCAATTTGTAGTTACTGATGTAGGTTCATCAAATACTAAGCAGATTTCCTGTGGAGTTCCTCAGGGATCAATACTTGGTCCTTTATTATTTTCACTATATACCTCCAACTTTGGGAATAGCATTAAGAATGGTAAGCCATTCTTTTATGCAGATGGTATTAAAATTAAATTTTCTTTAGAAGCCAGTAATCCGAGTAGTAATCATATTAATGAGGATCTTGACAGACTAGTTAGACTTTCAAATATTCATCAACTTAATATTAATTTTTCTAAAAGTGTGGTAATGTTATTTGGTAAATACCGATATCAACTACAAAATGAAATGCAGATTCTAGTTGATGGGAATATTTTATCATTTTCCTCATTTGCTCGCAACTTAGGTTTAGTAATTGATAATGATTTGAGGTTTAAACTTCACGTTAACAAGTGCATTCAAACAGCTCATATGAATCTAAAAATACTTTACCCACATCGACATATTCTTCCAAATTCAACAAAAATATTATTAACAGATTCCCTGGTTCTGAGTTATTTCAATTTTTGTGATACAGTGTATGGGCCCTGTTTAGATAGCACAGACTTAACTAGAAGTCAGAGAGTACAGAAATCTTGTTTAAGATTTTCATATGGAATACGGAAATTTTATAGAGTCTCACATAAACTCCAGAATTCAAACTGGCTAGATATGAAATCCAGATCAGTCTTACACTCGGCAAATCTGATTCATTCTATTATTTTACATAAATACCCTCCATTTCTTTTTAATAAAATAGGGTTTCCTTCTGATGTGCATAATCTTAATCTACGTTTTTGTGGTCGTATCTCACCTCCAATACATAATACTGCTATTTGTCTGTAAAAAGTAAAAAACTTCAAAAAATCTTATAGAAAGTTTTTCTCGATACAGCAAAGTAATAGCTACCTATATTTTAGAATGTTCGTATTTTGTTAAAAAAAAATCATATTTGTTTATATATATATATTGTTTTTGTACAATGTCTTGTGGCGTTGGACATATTTCAGGGCTGGTACTTTGATCGGTCTCTACTGTTCACCAGTCCTTTTTGCAGCCTTCTTTGGCACATGTTTTTTTTTTCTCATGTTTAATATCTGTATAAGTTGCAAATAAAGTTTATTATTATTATTATTATTATTATATTATACCAAAACTATTTGAGAAATTGCTCTTAAGAAGACTAAATAAGATAAACAACTTTTCCCGTCCCATCAATTCGGCTTTAAAATTGAGAATTTTCTAGGAAAAAAAAATTTTTTGGCATTATTTCTTATTATATCTAAAATAAAATAATTTTTCCCGATGCCATATGTCCAACTACTAGAATCATATTTGTCGCAGCGAACATTTAAAGTTGAAATGGAAAACGAATACTGTGAACTCAATGCTGGCGTCCCACAGGATAGTTTTCTTGGGCCAGTATTATATTTATTAAATACCTATGACATTTCAGAGAAAGAATATATAAAATTAGCAACATTTGCTGATGATACAGCTTACCATAGGATTAATTTATAGAAGAAACAACAACTAATCTTCAAAACAGAAGCATACAAATCTGGTCTAAACAGTGGCACACAAAAATAAAGGATGACAAATCCGCTCACATTAACTTTACCAATAAAAGAATAGAATGTATACTAATAAACCCAAATAAAAATATTATATCAAATAAGAAAACAGCAAAATATCTGGATCCAAATCTGGATGCTAAATTAAAATGGAAGGAGTATCTGTATCCGTAACGTGTGGAGGGTGGGTTACTTCACGGCACTTAGGCCTTATTAGGCTCATTATGCATCCTCCTGAGAAGATAGGCACCTCCTAGCTCGTTAGCCAGCCTACAGATTTAATCTAGTTGACAACGTCGCCAAGAGGTGCTTCTCTTATATCGGCCGGTGTTAGCCGATACTCGCCGAACACAAATATAATAAATGAGAGCGTCGAGCAATCGTAAAGGATATGCTCGATAGTCTTATCTTCTTGTTCGCACCCCCTGTAGAGTGCGGATTCTGACAGCCCCATGATATGGAGATGCTTTTGCACTTGGCAATGACCAGTCAGAATGCCTGTAACTATGCGCAGATTCTATCTAGTCATAGTCAAGTATTTGTTTGCTGCAGTGTTGTCAGGATAACTTAAGAGCTCCCTGGCAACTCTGCAGTTTCTTGTTTCATCTCATCTTTTCTTGAATTTCACAAGAAAATGTTCTTTGGTTAGGTCTGTCACTGCCGATTTTGTCAGGCCAATAGAAGGATCAGGGCCAAAAAGTATTTGGTTGGCTGCTTTCTTGGCTAGTGAATCAGCAAGACAGTTACCTTTAGATTTAGCGTGACCTTTAATCCATCTTACCACGTTGGATACTTCGGCCAAAGCTTCCTGACATTCTAGTACTAACTCTGAATAAATTCGTGATCTGTTTAGGGTGAGTAGTGCTTGTCTGCTATCTGTATAGATGAGCATGTTCCTTCCAGTGATATTGTTTCTGGTTATTTCTTTTGCTGCTATGAGAATCCCCCTTAGCTCTGTTTGAACTACACTGGCACTATTGCTCACAGCTTATTTTATGTTTAGGTTTAAGAATCTGGAGTATATTCCACATCCTGAGCCTTGTTTTATTTTAGAACTGTCGGTGTAGATATGAATCGTACCTGCCACTTATAGCTCTTATATTTGTTCTATTATAACTTTATATGGCTTATGAAAGATATATTTCGGTGAGATGGAGTCCATGTTCGCTTAAAGCAGTGGGAGTGTATCCAGCGACCTCTGCCAAAAGTGACGTCTTGCCTCACCAAATCCTACATCAGGTTCTATTCCGCTGGGCGGAGGCGTGTCACTGTCGTCAGAGCAATCTCCTTGATGTAAATATCAAGGGGAGTGAGACTAAGAATGACTTCCATCGCTCTAGTCGGTGTTGTTTTCATAGCTCCTGTTATGTTGAGACATGCTGTTCTTTGAATTTGTTTTAGTTTACAGATAGCTGTTAAAGAGACATGAGGAGAGGCTCCACAAACAAATTAACATTGAAGTTTTCCAACTTTTGGACAATCGGAATCTAGTACGCAGACTCAAAAGAGTCAAACATTTTGTGAAGTGATAAAGCAGAGTTAGTGCTATGAGCAATAATATCGAAGTGTGCAAAATATGTTAATAACACAGGTGATATCTAGATTTAAAATTTTATAGTAATTTAGGTTATTTTAAAAATTTAGATTAATCTTGTTAGATTAGACGTATTCGGACATATTAAAAACACTTTTTTTAAGAAATGGATAAAAACTAAAAATTTGTCGTAAATAGTGTATAATGTATTGCCTATACCTAAGTTGATCATGAAAAAAGCAGTTGATATTTAAAGTACATGTTATCTTGGATAATATAACAGAAAAACCTGTAACTACTTACAAATAACTGAAAAATCATTTAATAAAAAGAAATATTGTTATATTATAGCTAATTTAAAATAGGCGAGTAACAAAGCTGTCAACTTTTTCGCTCGGCGAACAACATAGCTGTCATTTAATGTCATTTCGTAAAAAACGTTAACTAAGACGTTAGTTTGATTTCAAAGCCCAAAAGCCTACTTTGGATAGTGATCGTAGAAAAATAAACTTTAAACTACTTAAACTACAAGTTGTCAGTAATCACAATATTTATACCTGAGCTATTTAGATTTTCCATTAAAATCAGAGCATCCCTATCCACAATGTCACTTCCATTTACATTAAGTCTGCCTCCATAACATAAAGCAAAACAGTTAATTATATCTTTTAAATTATTTTCCTTTTGAAATTCTTGAAAAGCAGGTACTAGTTTTTCGTAAAATATCAATTCAGACTTAAATGTTTTTTGTACGTTAAACATTTCTTGGGCAAATTCCAAAACTGGAATTTTTTTAGCTACTGCATTTAGTACATCTTGGGACTTTGTTTCTTCGTCTTCACTTGTGATGTTTAACTTTAAGAGCTCACCTCCAAAATTTTCGCCAGGTTCTACTAGATTAGTAACCTCCACATTTAAAACTTTTTTTCCTTTAAGGACGTTCTTAGAAAGAATGGAATCTATGCCTTCTACAGACATTGTTGAAGTATTCTACTTTTTAATGGAACTAAATTAAAAAATAAGTATAACGTAGGATTAATAAAAAATATAATCTTGTTGATCTCATTTTTATCTAATTAAGTACCAGTTATTATCTAATTTAAGAACAATTAGCTAGAATAACCAAAAATCAACTACAACAATTCTGTTAATTTCAATCAAGATTATCATATCATATCATCACACACTGATATGGAAATTATTGTGCAATAACATTGACAATTTTGTCGTATTTAGCGTTCTCAAGAAGATGTACGATAAGAATGTTTTTAAAATAAAATTTATCGAGAAAAATTATTGATACGCAGCGGAGGAGAAATTAAAAAATAATTTTTTGGGAAAACTTATTGTGTTGCTATTAAATATTAAAATATAAAGGATAAATTAAAAAGTCAAAGTAAAAGTACCTCAGGGTTGCAGATTAGAAGGAAGTTTATAGTTTTTTGTAGTTTTTGTCCTAATTAAGAAATGGAAATTTAGTTTTTAATCAGTATTTCAAAAATTGATGTAAAAATCATCGAAGCCTCGAAAAAGAATCTGTGTGTTTTGTATAAAGGTTATAGCTTTCATTAAAAAGAAAAAACAAAGAGGGTTCGGTTTTTAGAGTTGTATGAAAGAAGAAACTTAAAAACTTTGAGGCAATATCATTATTGAGAACAATAGAATAATTGAACCCATAATTTGAAAAGAGCACAAGTCATATTTTTTAAAATATCTTTTTTTCACGCCATTTGATTCTTTGAAGTAGTTTACATATTTCCTGCGAAAACGGCACATCTTCATATACCACAAGGCAGCTTATAAAGCAGTCAGAAATTGAAGTTTGTATAAAAACGACACGAGTCCCAGACTCATGCCCCTTATAAGTGACACGGAACAAATCTGTCAGATATGATAACCTCACTTTATCAGTTACGAAAATGGAGAATCGCGATCTTGCTGATACTGCTTATAAATCAAGAAAAAGGGTGTCTGGTGTAATAAACATCGAAAACTATAAGCATAACAAAATAAAAAAAGCCAAAATTGCTGGAAAAGCTCATAAAAACCATAAGGGAAGAGATGTGGTACCAAGACAAACAGGAGCTTATTGCAGGTTAGTTTTGTTTTCTCAATATATTTTACCAAATATTAGCTGGAGATGATATTTATTGTTCTTTTTATTTACAGATGTAAGTTAAAATGTATGAAGACTATCTCAGAAGATAATATCCAAAGTAGTATCTGTTTTATTAACAATTTTGATAGTAAAAATGTCCAAGACACATACTTGCAGGCATTGATTGAAAAGCAGGAAATACATAGAAAACGCCCCAAATCTGAAGTACCTAAGAATAGACAATTTACTTTTAAATATCACATTAAGATAGAAGGTGGTAAATTAGAAGTGTGCAAAAAAGCATTTTCCAGTATCCATGGAATTTCTGAGAAACAAGTTAGACGTTTATGTATTTTATTAAAAACAAACGAGCAACCTATTGATCACAGAGGAAAATCACAGGGATCACGGAGCAATGCAATATCTGGTGATACATTATCTAAAATCTGGGAGCATACTGAGTGAAAAACTCAATGTGAAAACTATGCATGCATTGTACAAATAAAAATATACAGATCATCCAGTAAAATATAAATTTTACTTAAAATATATGCAGGAAAACTTTAGCTTATTATTTGGTAAAAAGTAAATTGATGTGTGTACACTGTGTGAAGAGTTAAAGATTAAACTAAAAAATCCACATTTAAATGATTACGTAAAAAGAGTCTATCAAGTAGATATTGAGCTTCATAAAAGACAAGCAAATAAATTTTACAGAAAAATTCAGCAGGTAGAAACTAAGTTCAAGAATAATGCGAAGGTGTATGGGATTGCATTTGATAATATGCAAAATTTACCACTTCCACATATTCCAGTGCAGGAAGTGTTTTATCTACGTCAACTATGGCTATATGAGTTTTGCATTTATTACATGAAAACTGGAAAATCAGTCTTTTATTCTTATTGTGAAAGAGTTGCTAACAAAGGTCCCAATGAAGTGGGTACCTTTGTGCTGGATTACATTAAAAATAATATTGGCAATGATGCCGAAGAGTTGCACCTATTTTCAGATGGCTGTGCAGGCCAAAATCGAAATCATGCCATGGTTCGTATCATTTTATCACTGACAGCTGAACAAAATAACAATATTAAGAAAATAAAATATTACATACCCAAAACGACAGAATGTTTGGGAAGCAAATAGACATATTCGAAAAAATGACAGGATTTACACTCCAGCCGAGTATAAATATCTTATAGTTGAAGCTAATGAAATACAAAGGCCGAAAACTGAAGATATTATAGACATAAAAAAATGGTTGCCGAAACATTATAAGAAAGTGGATTCCTATGGAAAAGGAGTACCCAAGGACCAAAAAACAACTTCTGCTATTTCCAAAGTGTAATATTTCACTTTATCTAAGTCCACACCAGGTTGTTTTAGATTGTTTTATCAGTTATGATTTTAAAAAGGCATAAGTCCAAATTTTTTATTTAAAACATCTGTATGATTAACATTTTTTTTTATTTTATAAATGTCACAAAAATTATATACAGGGTGATTTTTTGAAAAGGATTCACCCTCGATAACTTCGTTCTCGTCTTGATTCAGGTAAAATCCAGAAACAGGTCAATTTTTATCTTTAGGGGGACACATTTTTAGATCACAACTGATTTTGTCGGATCAACCCCATGGCCCCACTAGCCCCCACCTCAAAAACCTTCAATAGCAAGGGGGGCCGAGTGACCCCTCGTTGGAAAGGTTTTTGCATTTACCATACGACCATGTAAGAATTATTTCATTTTGTACAGGTTGGTTCAAGAAAAAAGACAAATTGCAATAAATAGACTTAAATTACATACATCATAATAGATTCTTAAAATGACTACCGTTGAGAATAATAGGAATCCTTCCTCATTCAACAATTTATCTCCTGTCGTAAATTCACTTAAATTTTTTTCTTCAGTTTTTGAAGACGGTTGATGAGTAATAACGCGCTATCGCTCTTTTTGTATGCATTTTTATCTGCAATTATTTGTGCATCTCTACAAGCCGTTTTGACGGATTAGATTTAATCCAAGTAGTTTGCAGTCAGTTGGTATGTCAATTGATTTATTTCCTGTAAAATGGTTTACACTATTGCCGAGCTGGTAGAAGTTATTTTCATTTATGGTGAGGAGCAGAATTGTGCCCGCGCCACTGCTAGAGTTTTTAATGCGAGACATCCAGATAAGCGAATGGAGCACAAATATGTCACGCAACTTGTGCGGAAGTTTCAAGCAACAGGATCGGTGAAAAATATGAAGAGAGAAGGTAACAGAATAGTTAATGAAATGGCTTAGATTGAAGTGGTGGGGAACTTTACTTTCGATCCAACCAGTTCTTTGCGTTAGATTGCTACGACCATTGGTACGCAAAGTGACAAAACTTTTTAAATTCCACCCCTATAAAATGAAAATACTTCAGGAGCTTGTGGACGATGATCCTGATAGGAGATTACAGTTTTGCGAAATTATGACGGAAATGATAAACGCAAACCCAAACCTCTAAAAAACATTTGCTTTAGTGACGAATGTAGTTTTTATCTGCATGGCGCAGTCAATAAACAGAATGTCCGATATTGGAGTGATGAGAATCCTCACATTTTTAGAGAGGGGCATACCCAAGCTCCTCAGAAATTAAATGTATGGGCAGGAATACTAGGCGTTGCGGTAGTCGGTCCGATTTTTATTAATGAGACTTTGACTGACGAGGTATATTTGGAGCTGCTGGAGAATATCATAGATCCCTTAATAATGGTTGAAGTTGAAAATCAGCAAGAACAAGATAGAAATCTTGTACTTAAAGAAAATGAGCTTTTTTTCAGCAAGATGGAGCCCCACCTCACTTTGCTGTGAATGTTCGGAACTGGCTGAATCAGAGATTTCCGCATCATTGGGTTGGCAAGCGGGGAGCAATAGAATGGCCTCCACGGTCACCAGATTTGACAGGACTAGATTTTTTCCTCTGGGGGCACCTAAAATATGTTGTCTTCAAAACTCAACCAGCAGATTTAGTGGAGTTGCGACAACGAATAACTGACGCATGCAGAAGAATCCCTAGAGAAACCTTTCAACGCGTGAGAGAGGAGTTTGAAAACCGCCTTTACTACTGCATGCAGAATAACGGTGGTCATTTTGAGCACTTGTTGTGATTTTGCTTCCTTTCACTCTAATCCGCTTCTTCTCGTTTTGTAAACAATTAATACGATTTTTATTCCAAAAATTAACTAATTAAAGCGAAATGTAAATCTATTTATTGCAATTTGTCTTTTTTCTTGAACCACTCTGTACAAAACGAAATAATTCTTAAATGATCGTATGGTAAATGCAAGAACCTTTCCAACGAGGGGTCACTCGGCCCCCTTGCTATTGAAGGTTTTTGAGGTGGGGGCTGGTGGGGCCATGAAGTTGATCCGACAAAATCAGGTGTGATCTAAAAATATGTCCCCCTAAGGATAAAAATTGACCTGTTTTTGGATTTTACCTGAATCAAGACGAGAACAAAGTTATCGAGGGTGGATCCTTTTCAAAAAATCACCCTGTTTGTCCTTTATTTATCGCCTTCTATGTTCATTTTTTTGGTACCACAGACTTTTTTTACATGACACATATTTTTAGTGCTTCTGAAAAGTTTTAGTTAACGGACTCAGACCCTTTTCGAAATGACGGGTTCAATTAGAGAAGCCGATCATGGTAAGCCTAGTATTGCAGCGACAGAGATGAAGTAATGTATATTCAATGCCAGAAAAATAGCCAGGGAAGACGGCACTTATTTGCATATGTCAAAAATATATCAGAATAATGGGTCGATTCTGCGCACGTCTGTAAGCTAATCTGTAACTTTACAGAGGTATTGCTATTCTGCGCACAGATAAACGTTACAGAATCCTTTAAATTCGTTACAGATTTGATAAACATTTACGTGTCAGTTAACCGCTGTCTTAGTGATACAGAAAAAGTGATTTGCAATTTTTTTTTGTTTTAAAAATATGAACAATCAAGCAGTGGCAATATTTATTGGAATTTTATTAGATGAAGATTATAATAGGTAAGAAAAAGTACTTGTTAATAAAACAATACAATCGTGGTCGACTTTTCTGACACATAAATTTGATCAAAATTCACTTAACTTTTTTTAAAGGAATACATATACCTACTATAATTGCAAACTATGATTAGATATTCTTATTCTATTTTAGGAATTTTATGAGAATTCAACGAAAACGTCTGAGAGATCAGATGAATCCCTTCGATATGACAAACAGTGCTTTTATTCAAATGTTTAGATTAAACAAAATGTAATGAATTTAATCAACAGCCTACAACGACATGTAAGAATTGGAAATAATAATTCCATTCCACTAGTAAAAAAAGTAGGTACCTACCTATACATTTAAAATTAAAAAATATATATATATATATTTTGGATTACATTTTCAGGTGCTTATAACTCTCAATTTTGTAAGTGTGGGGTCTTACCAAAATTCAGTAGGAACACATGCTTGGCTTTCTACTAGTCAAAGCACAGTAAGCAGGTCAATAGCTGAAATTTGTTCAGCAATTGTTCAACAATTATTGCCAATATGGGTAAAATTTCCTACTGAAAATGAACAAATCTTGGCCGTTAAACAAGAGTAAATATAAGATTGAATCTGAATATGTTTTGAAATTTTAAATACATATTTTTAGGTTTTTTAGAAAATATGGTTTTCGAGGCGTAATAGGGGCTGTTGATGGTACACATGTGGAAATTCTTGCTCCTCCTGAAACTGATGCAAATCACCCACCTTTTGTGTACATAAATAGAAAAGGAAAACACTCTATGAACTCTATAAACTGCAGTTTAGCAAGTTAGTGCCATAAGAAATCATTTGGAAATTAATTATGCCAATGGTGACCATAACACTCATTTAATAGGTATACCTATGAATATTTAAAAAAGAAATGTCATTACATTAAATTTTTAGGAGATAGTGGTTATCCTTTAGAACCATGGTTGTTTACCCCATTTTTAAATCCCAGAAACCAACAGGAGGAAGCATTTAACAATACATTAACATCTGCTCGTAATGTAATAGAAAGAACCAATGGCGTTTTAAAAGGAAGATTTCGCTGTTTGTCCAGGCACCGAACACTTATTTATCACCCAATCAGGGCAGCTAACATTATTTATGCATGTTGTGTTCTGCATAATATTGCATTAAATGCAGATTTAAACTTAGATGAAGGGGAAGTTGAATATCCCGTGGAAGACAACAATCATATTAATGGTAATTATTTAAATAGGTACCTACCTACTTTTTTTATATAACGCTTGAGTTTTTTATTTTTAGATGTACCTGCACGCAATAGAAACATTTTTCAATTGGGAACAGAAGCAAGAGCTGCCTATATTAGAAATAATTATTAGAGTGTATGAATATTAAAATAGACATTCATAAGTTTTAATTTTTATTTGAATTCACAACAAAACTTTTAAAAAT